TCGTCTTGTAGTGTTTGTGACTTATTTCTGAAGTACCTGCTGTTGGTCTGAACAGTGTTTGCACATTCCTTAGCTGGGCCACACCCCAGAACGTTCTGTTACTTCATGTTCTCTCTCTCTCTCTCTCAGAAATTCCCGCGCGTGTCGAAGGCCGATTCGGGGAAGTACTACTGTACGGCTCAGAATGGCTTTGGAAGCCCGGCCAGCTGTGATGCAGTGATGATGATCGTGAGTAAGTACATGTCTGCTGAGTCTCATCTTGGCCCAGTCAGGAGCAACCCAGTACTCCCACTGCCATTGCGCAGTTCCCCACCCTGCAGTCTGATACTGGAGGAGTGTCTGGGCTGCAGTGTGTGACCAGTATAGAGCAGTTATCGGTCGGCAGCCCGTTGCTGTCCAGAGGAAGGGCCTGTCTTCTCCTACTGGCTACACTGTCTCGCTGTGGGGCAGACGCTTTCCTGGAAACTCCTTCTCCCAGTGGATCTGGGCTCTAGTTTTCTTTCATTCCTCTTCCCACCCTCTTGATCCCAGTGCTGTAGCTGCTAAATGCCGTCAGCTGGGAGTAAAGGCTTGTGCAGGGGAGGGATCTCGGAAGTGGAAACCCCGAGAGCTGTCTTCTTGTCCGGCTGGATCAGCTCTGACTTGATGCCGTTTTTTTTCTCCTCCTGCCTCAGAGGATGTGAACACTGGCGGGATCGTGGCTGGAGTGATTGTAGCCCTCCTGTTCCTGCTGCTGCTGGGATTTGGCCTGTGGTATGCCTATCGCAAGGGATACCTGCCGAGTGAGTACAAAGAGGGACCGCTGAGGCCCTTTAACCTTCATTGAGGGTTTGCGTTTGCGTTTCCTTTCTTTGAAGGAGGAAGGAGCTCCCAGTGCTGAGAGATGTACCTGCCGAAAACCTTGAATTATGCGGAATAATTTTTTGATGCATTAGAACTTCGTTTTTTTTATTTTAGGAAACAAGCTAAAGCAAACAAGTGTGAATTTCTCCCCCACTAGAATTCTTGTGTTGAGGACTTGTAACTACACCATGTCTAAAGGGCCGTGGTCCATAAATAGGTTGTTTGAAAATTTTTAGCTATAAAAATTAATTTTTTTCTCTTTTTGTTTTACAGAAAAATCTGAAAGGTAAGAAATTGTACTTTTTTATGAGGACTTAAATCAACTAAATTGGTTTTGGATATACCGTTAACTATAATAGAAGTTGGTATACTGTATAGTGTGCCTAGACGGGCATGAGAATCTTAACTAGGAACAAAATAACACTGTAAGCATTATCTCCTGAATGCTGAATGTTTTAATAATAATCCTGAAACTTGTACAGCGCTTTTCTGGGCACTCCACTCAAAGCGCTTTACAGGTAATGGGGATCCCCTCCACCCCCACCAGTGTGCAGCCCCACCTGGATGATGCTCCAGTCCTCTCCCCACACACCAGCTCTCAGTGGGGAGGAGAGCAGAGTGATGAGGCCAGTTCAGAGAGGGGGATTATTAGGTGGCCATGATTGTTCAAAGCCAGGGGGAAATTTGGTCAGGACACAGGGGTAACACCCCTACTCTCTTCGAGAAATGCCCTGGGATGACCACAGAGAGTAAAGACCTTGGTTTTGCATTCCAAAGGGTGGTGGCTTTTTTTTTACAGTATGGTGTTCCCATCATTACACTGGAGCATTAGGACCCAGAAAGACCACAGGGTGAACACCCCCTGCTGGTCCCACCTTCCAGCAGTAATCTTAGCTTTTCCCAGGATGTCTCCCAACCAAGTACTGGCCAGGCTCACACCTGTTGAGCCTCAGTGGGTTGTGAGTTGTAGGGTGATATATAATATCTGTTTGAACTGTTTGCTGTTTATAAAATGGCCTCCAAATACAGCTTAAAAGTATCTCTGTGAAAAGATTAAACAGTGCAGAGTCATGAAACAGTAATTTGAAAGCATTCAGCAGGTCATGCAGTGAATGAGTTGGAGACCTAACAATGAGCTGATATCTGTTTCTTGTGCAGGAAGCCCACGGTGTTGTACAGCCAGCCACCAGTGAACATGGATGAGAAAGATGTAAGTACTGTGTTGTACTGAGGGTGCCATCGCCCTGGTCCTGTTTTGACTGTCTCGTTCTGCCTGGAGCTCTTTCCAGTTTTGTAAACATTTAATTCAAAATCCTGAATATCCTCACCTTTTGATTTGATGCTTGATCTATTTCAGTTCAGCCACATGCATAGCCCTCTCCCTTTGTAAAGAAATCAGATGGGGTTCGCAAAACATGCCATCTTGCAGCTGATGTTGAACTCCTGCTCAGTGGGCTTCTGTATGACAGGGGCCTGGTAATTCAGCAGCCCTGACCCCCTGTGTCTGCAGGCTGAGGCTGCTGGCAGGGGTCACCCCTGTGCCTGCCTCCTGTATCATCCCCTATGAAAATATGCAAGTCCTCATAAGTCCAAGTACACATCTAGGGCTGGCATGTCCAGGCAGGGTTAGCTCAGCTGTGTGTCTTGAATGCCCGGTCACTGGAACAACAGGGAATTGAGTTTGTGTCGAGGGAGAATCCAGCAGGAGGCAGCAGAGAGGGGCACAGGCTGCACGCTGTCGTCTGGGCCTCTGGATCCGCCCCTGAGCAGGCCGATGCGGGAACGCTGGGATAGGTGTCCGTTTTATATAAGCCAAGCAGGTGTTTTCCAACCATGCCTGTGGGAGCCTTGAGCATGATGGACTGTGTCTTCCAGGGGGAGTTCCGGCAGAAGTCTTCCTTCGTGGTGTGACGGGATCACCCGAACAGCGGCGTCGGTTTCCCGAAACTGACAAGCTGCATGAGACTAGACCCCAGCCCTGCACTTCCTGTGCACATTTTAATTTTGAGTTTGTTTTTACTGTAATTTTCATTTGCTTTTAATATTGCTTTTATGAATTTTGTGGGCCATTTTTTCACCTTGATGAACTACCGATTTCTCCTTCCTGTTGCATGGCTCATGCTGTCATGCTGGTGGCCCCTGCTGGACAGAGTCCATGTGCTGTTCACTGGCAACACCCAGACCCCCTGAGTCAGTTCGGCCTGAACAGGCGTTCGGGGGATCAGCGAGGTGCGCTCCGTCGCTCGCCCTGGGCTGAGGCTGTGAGCTCGGCCCGCAAGGCACTGCGCCCTCAGCTGTTTGCTGGAACCTTAACATGGCCCCCCTGACATAATTCTAGGGGAAAGAAATGTTTTTTCTGTGTTTTTCTTGCTGTCAAGCCCTCGTGGTTAAGAACTAGAAATGTTCAAAAACACCAGAAAAACATGGGTCTTTCCTGCTGACCTGGAGCTACTTTTTCTGTGAGATGTGACCCTCCCCCACGGCGTGGATGTTATTCGAGTCTGGCGGAGGAGCTGTAAGATAATGTCTATCTGTTTGTTACTTGTGTAGATTACCATGGAAACTGTGTAAAATGTTCTGGTGCGATGTGTGGGTGCTGCCCTGAGCTTCGGGCACAGTCCCCCGTCCTCCTGCCCCTCAGCAGGGTGAACGCTGGTCACTGTCTGTCCCACCCGCTGTCCTCGCGCTGCTCGGCTCTGCACGTCTGCCAGAGGCGCTGCAGAACAGACTCTCTCCTGGCGCCAGGCGGTGGCACAGGCAGTGGCCTGGGGGGGGCGATGGTGAGCCAAGCTGGCACCATCCAGGCGAGAGCTCCTGTTGATGTGGGGTTTGTGATGAGACATTTTGTAAGATAAATGACTTTTATTTGATCTTGTATAGGTATTTTGTCTGTTCTTGCCTTATTTGAAAAAAATAAACTGAAACTGTTCCCTATTTGGTCTGCTTGTTGGTGTCATTTGTGAAGAAATGACCCCAGGGTCCTGCAGCAGGCTGCTGGGCAGCAGACACCTGTCTGCACTGGGGGGTTAAATCACAGACATGGCTTTGGGGGATTCTTGTAAAGACAAAGGGATGTCGAGAAGATGTCGTCATCTTGAAGCCATTTTCGACAACGGACTGTACGGCACTGAACACTGGTGGGTCACCTGCGTGACGGCTGCAAGCATCTTTAAG